CAAAACAAAAAAAAAACAAATATACAAACAAATTCACAAGGTGCTCGAAAAAATTCACAAACAAATTCACAAACAAATGAACAATCAAAAAGAGAAACAGAAAACATGTTTTCAAAACATACTTTGCCCTTCTATTTATCTTTCTTTCTTCAAAACTTAACCATAAACAATTTAACCTAATAAACTGAACATATTTTGATCAAAAGACCACATAATCCGCATAGGATACATATGGACATAGTCCAGCAACTACAGGATTAAACAAGGCCAACAAAACATACAGTGAGCACTTGAACAACCACTTAAGCACAATAGGAATCTGCAACATTCACAGGGCAACCACACGGCCAAACCGGGCACAAACATAACACATCATTCAAGTGCACAACCAAACATACTCAGCCGTAACCCCAATTCGTAAATTAATTAAAAATCATAAAAATCCTAATACAAACATTCCGTTTCCAAACCCCAATTTATTACAAACATTCCAATTCAAAACTCTAATAGGAAATTAAGCCCTAATACAATTCAAATATGATAATCTAATTCAAAACCACAATCCAATTCAAAATCCTAACCCCAATTCATAAATCAATTAAAAATCCTAAACCCTAACCATTATCAATTTATTACAAAGATTTCAAAAAAATTTGAAGAAAATTACCTCTTCTAGGCGGCGGTTATGGCGGTTCACGGCATATGTTCACGGCGGCGGTTCACGGCGGCGGGTGGGAGGGGTTTTATAAAACGTATTTTAGGAATACGTTTTAGACAATTTAATTCTAAAACGTATTTTGGGAATACGTTTTATAATATATATTTTTTAATTAAAAATAGAAAAATACAAAACATATTTTATTTAAAAACGTTTTTCGGTTTTTAAGAACGTATTTACAGAATACGTTTTATAATTTTTTTTTTAAAAAAAAAATTAGAAATAGAAAAATACAAATCGTGTTTTTAAAAACGTTTTTTCGTGTCATATTTACATAATACGTTTTATATTTATTATTATTTTTTTTAATTTTCGAATATGAAAGGAATTTTGTGTTTTTTATTTTTAATTTAGAAAAATAAAGAAAATGTATTCGCGGAATCCGTTTTTCTAAATAATTATTTTTTAAAAAAACGTATTCCCAAAATACGTGTGTTTGATTTTTGTCCACACTTTTTTTTTTTTTTTTTTTTTTTTTTTTT